TCTAAGAAGTTGAGATCTGCATGATCAATAAATGAATCATGAATTAGGAAGTGGCCAGGCGAGTTCCGTCAAGATTCTGCCCGCTTCCACATGGCCTACTTGACTAAGGTGCGGCTGATTGAGAATTTCCATGATCATGGGCGCGCTTCTGATTTAAATCTCTTAGATTAATGTCGTTGAGATTTACACAAACTAGCGATTAAACAATACCAATGACTCGTTAAAGAGTGCCATTGTGGATTTGATAGCCAACATGATTGAAAAAAAAAGAACTTGATCAGGGCATGTAGTCGATTCTGAGGTCGCATAAAAGCCATCCTAGAGACTGTGAGTGTTTTATTGTCTATTCTGTGATGAACGGTTTTTATTTGGAAAATATTCTTTTCTACTGAATATCTTTGCTTTTCTTTATATTATAATTTGTTTTCATTTACCTGGCACACATTATATTCACTTCCATATAGGAAGAGTGATATTACATAATAGTTCAGCATTCTTTCTTTTATTTCCAACGATTTTTTTTCTGTTTCTTAACACTTTGCTTATCTTTTGGAGGGCATCTTTCGCTATTTCATTAATTTGGATTTCAGTCACATTTTCCGTCCTCTATTGAAATAATTCCTAGATATTTACATTTTCGTACTAGCTTGATTTTGGTATCTCTAATTCGTTGTTTGCACCATGGACTGTTCAGCTTGCCAACAACTATATATTCTGCCTTTTTACAATTGATCCTTAGTTATTTCTTCTCGCGGGCAACCCTGACGAACCAACCGAGACAGTACAAAAGCGTGCGACGTTAGAATGGAGTTCGAAATCGACACATGTGTCAAAGCCACCTTCAAAGGCGGAAAACTACGGATTTAGACCTTGATGTCAACAACAAAATTAAGGAACTAGACCAAAATGGTACATACAAATACTTAGGAATTAATAAAGGATACGAAACTGGTGCCTTTTTTTTTAAAGAAATAAACGAAAATTTTACATTAAAGTGTTACAGTAAATAAAACGTTGAATTATAAATTAGGCATTTATTTTCTATAAGGATGTAGTGTAATGGATATCGGTGCGAGAAGTAGAAGTGGCAAGTAAAGTTCAAATTTCAGGCTCGTCTGTTGCGTTCACTTTCGCACAAAGGCCCTTGGAAAAGGCAAGAAAAGCTCTGGCTACCAAACCGTCGAGAAGATATAAAAAATTTTATTAGTTAATAATACAAAATAATTAAAAATAATAATTAAAAAGTATAAATAAGTTTTCGGTTCGACCGGAAGTTTCCAACTCAAGAGTCAGGAGTCGAATGGCCAAAATCATTTATTTATGCATAGGCTCCGAGTGGCACTTCCGGTGGCGTTGAAAATATTCAAAATACAAATCATTAATCGACCACTGACAGAATTTCCCTCGCATTTTCGAGAAACTTTTTTGTGAGTCAGCACCTGCTTAAGAGAAACTATAAATACAGACCATAAAGCAAACCAGAGCAGTTGCAAATAAATTACGCGTTGTCAACTCAACCGATTTACTAAACCACTGAAACATTCCACGCTTCTCTGATGTAGATTCAACAATGAATCCAAGGTATGAATCTTCCCCCTGTTCAAGGAATTTTATTAAACACACCGCAATGAGTGTCTTGTCTATGAACTTTCCCCCTTTCCAGAGGTTTTATTAAACACACCGCAATGAGTGTCTTGTCTTGGAACATTTCCATTTTTATGGATTTAATTAACACGCCTCAACGTGTGTCTTTGTACCTTTCCATTTTCAGTGGTCTAAATGTGTGTACATAACTTTCCCCTTTCAAATGGGTTTTTACTAAACACACCTAAATGTATGTCATTTTCCCCTTTTAAATGTGTATATGTGAACTTACTCTTTTCAAAGGTTTTATTGTATTCACTACACGCCATATAAAATACCCAAATAAACTGTTATTTGTTGATAAACAAATCTTTATCTTCTTGTTCGTTTTAAATTCACTTGTTTAAATGTCTTGCTTAACCATTGTGTTGTACGTTGGGACAGCTCACGGAATAATTAATAATCGCTGCCACTATCTTGTACGAGTTAGCCACAAGAACTAAACGCTTTCTGTGCCCCATAAGTCAATTAGTTCCATAACCTGCTCCTGAGAAAATCCACAACCCCCAACAAAGTAAATAATCGTCTAAGTTTGTCTTTTACGCGTAATTTTTTGAGAAGTGTATTTTAAAGAATGCTAGAGGGTTTATGAAAAAAATGGTTCATTATTTATTTGTAAAACTTTCTATTTTTAGAATTGACTGTTAATAAATAACCGCCCACATTATTTTGGTCAAGGTGAATTGTTTAAAAAATATGTACAATTTGTATTTATTATCCAATCATTACGCTCACGTAAATTTGAAGTTAAGGTCTGTTTGGAGCCTCTTCATTTTATTTTATAAAGAGAAGAGCCAGAGAAGCTGAAGTATTCAAAATTCAATCAAGGAGATTCAGTGAAGAAGGTAATGAGTTTTCCAATGAAGATAAAATTTTCAAAGACGAAATGTTTCTACCAAAGCAGAAGACGAAGCGGCACAAAATTTTCATCTTAAAGAAGATTAAAGAACTATAAACGAATCAATTTTTGATTGCCATCCGTGAAGCTTATATAGGGAACTGAAACCTGTTAATAGAACCGTAGCGACTACTATGTTTTTTTTCCACGCCCACATTTTATTCGTCTTCAATTGGCTAATAAATCAATACTGCCTTTCTATAAGACAATTTAGCCATCGCAGTCGTTGCTTTGAATTTTTCGGTTTTGAACTTGCTTATTTGTTTCGTTAGTACAAATTTAACGATTGGTCAAATTTTAACCAATCGCATATTTTAGTGCAAAATCAACTTTTCCCGCGGTTTCGCTGGGAGCCTATCTGTAGCTTTAAAAGAGGCGACTTTTTCACAAGTCGCCAGTAGAGCCCACTAAATTTCGCCTGTCAACACAAACCTATGACTTTACTCACAACATCTCAAGCGCACACACAGACACAGAATTTTGAAATACATATATACATATCTCTCTGTGACTCAGCCAAGTTCAATCAACCAAAACTGTTGATTTCTCTAACACAACACACTTTCTGATCAACTGTATTCTTGTTTTATCCATTCTAACAACAGACTTGTTCTAACATTGATTCCTGAACATTTCTCTCTCAAGAGAACTTTCTTTCGAACAATCAATTACAAATCAAAATACGGTAAAAGGGAAACAACTTCTTTTCCCTTAATCTATACATTGAATACAAATTATTGTATATTTTGTTCTTGTATGTTATTTCAATATATACTTGTTGATTCACATTTGGAGTTTCGTTGTTTTCTTGAATCATTAATGATACAAAAAGTATATGCACAATAAACACGCATAACAGAACTGTCTTTAAAATATAAATAAGTCTTCGTGGTTTGAAATTGCCAAAGATTCCTCCATTCTGTGATTTTTTTCGTCTTCTGATTAGATGGGTGCAGCAGGGTGCACCTTTCTTTTTTTTTAAAAAAAATCTGCCTTTTTCTAATTTTGTATTACTTTCTCAAAGTTTTTATTTTTTATTTTTCGAAGATTGTTTGAAATCTTTTAAAATCACTTCTATATTTTTAAATAAGACGCACAAAAGAAAATGTTTACGCAAGCCCATCCTGTAAAATATTTTATTTTATATTGTTTTATGTATGTCCTTTTAAATTTCACGTAAGAGTCTTGTCTTTTTATTTAGTTAATGTTTGGGATAAGAGAAAAAAAAACCTTCTCTCTTCTCCCATTCCCTCTGTTGGGATTGCTATGAGTTTGAATTTGTTATCAGAAGGTTTTTATATTAAGATGGTTAGTTTACGGGCATGTTCACCATATTAATCCACAACAATATAGAATATAGACATTCAAAAACGAACCAATCACAAGGCAATTGAGTAAGAAACACCAATTATGAGATTTCAATAAAACAACATGCATTTATGTACAACTAATATACAATTTGAAAACTTGTAGTTTGATAATGCAAGAAATTGACCATTGATAAATTGGGTTTCTTATTGATTTACGATTCAAAATTGTTCAAGTGTTTAAGAACTGGTCAAACAGAGTTAAATGGAAAATATTATTTATACAGAAATTTGTGTAGTTTGTATGCGTGAGTTGTTTACCTTGGATTGTTCTGTGTTTGTCTTTGTTTAAAATACAATTTCTATTTTAGTAGTGTGTAAGAACACCTTTCTTAGAAAGTTGTAAGTGAGATGTGAGAGATTATGTTGATGTTTGAGTCAGCAGTTGACGCGCGAAATGTATCTTAAGTCAAAGTAGTGACACACGTGGATTTGTTTGGCATCTCTCTGAAGTTTATTGACTGACTGGTGAATTGGGTAGAGATGGTCCTTTTAATTTGTTTCTGGAAACCAAAATAGGCTCCAGTGAACTGGGCGCGAAAACAGTTTTTCGACAATTGTTACATGTCTCGACCAATAGAAAGTCGAGATTTGCAATGCGAGGTGTTGGTTGGTTTAAAACTGATTCTGGTGGAAGAGTGTATTTTATCTCGGAGGTGAGTATGAAATATGGACGATTCTATACCTCCAAGGAAATAAAAAAATTATTTTATTAAAGCAACAGAAAACCACTCCATTGTCTTTTCGGATAATGCATGGCAATTCATAAAGTCATGATCGTCTACACCCAAAAAAAAGATAACTAACATTAAATTAAAAAAAAAAAATTCAATACAGTACCTTCAATCAACAAATCACTCCTCTTCTTGTTTATTTGCAGAAATATGCAACATCAACCGGTTGTTATGAAATATGTAAATTACTTTTCGAAAGACTAAAAAAAATATATGGCTTCTTATAAGTGAAAAAACTTAAATTAAAGAAAACGGGATTGTTGTCGATGAAATAAGTTTATTGCGATTGTTGGAAAAGTATTTACTTGGTAACTATTCAATGTTCGTCACCGTATATAACACCGGTGCATTAGTAAAATGGAAGTTCACGTTTCGACGCGTGCTCTCTTTGTGGCAGTTTTTCTTTTTTCACAAACTTCTGTTTCTTTGGGTCGGAAAAGCCATACAATAAGTCTAACTGATGATAACTGGCGTCAGTTATTGGAAGGAGAATGGATGGTCGAATTGTAAGTTTTATTTTTATTAACGCTCACAATTCAGCATTTTTTACACTTTCAATTTTTTTCACTACAGATTGTATGAAAACGTCAACACATCAATCTTATTGTTGTTTCTTTTTATCATTTGGAAATATTTCAAGTTTACATTAACCTTCCTTTTTTAACTATATATTTTTTTTTATAATAGATCATTTCAAACTTTATACACTTTTAAACAAATCTCCACTTTACATTTTAATTTCATACAAAAAGAAATTTCAAGTTACTTTTTAAAATGATTTTTTTTTACTTTTAAAGTAGGTAGACTAAAAAACTAAATCAACAAATTCAGAATTTATAAATATGAGGTAAATAATGTTGTTTTACAGTATACAATTTATAAAAATCAGTTTTCTTCCTTTTTCGATTTTTAAATTAAAATGAATCCTCGAAATTTAGTATGTAATTTTTACATCATGGATTTAAAGTTTATTTATTTCATTTCCGTCTTCTTCACTTATTGCATAATTAATTTCATTGCTTTTTTTAAAAATTATTACATTTTGCATTAAAAATAAAATTAAGAATGTAAGATTCTAATTCTAATTAAAATTTATTTGATGGTATTGACAGAAAAAATGTAAACAAAAAAAACTAAAGCCTTAGAGAAACTATTTTCACATGCCTTATTAAATTAATTAAAGAAAGTTGTTTTTGTTTTTTTACTTTATAACTAAATTGATTTTTATTTATTTTTGCAATTAAAAATTAAAACGTCAAGGTTAAAACTTCAAATTATATTGCAATTGTTTTTTTTATTTATGTGCGTGGGGGTCCTTAATTATTTCAATTTTCCTTTTTAAAACCTTTCTCCTTTTTATTTTCAATGACAAGCTTTAGGCTTGGTTCGGTCCCCCTTTTTTTATTTCTTTTTTTTTTTTTTTTTTTTTTTTTCAATCTTCGAACAAGTTCGAACATAAATTTGATGCAGACGTGCCCGGTCCCTGGAGATTCCAACTCCAGGGCAATAACTCTCCATTATATTAAGAGGGGTACTCTTTGGCTGTCCGGACGCTTTTGCAGCAGAAACCTGGAGGGGTTTTTACCACTACTCACACGTATATGTGTACCTTGTGTTAGAGTTATTCGTGTGGAAAAGCAAATACCAGCTGACTTGATGCATTATTTTTATCTCTCTTTTTGCAACTAACCATGTTTTTCCTTTTAACGCAATTAATTTCTATTATTCGTAGTTATTACAACTACAATAACTTCTTTTTATACACGAACTGGAAACTGTCAGTGTCATTTTTTTTTTTTTTTTACTCCTTACTTCAGCATCACTGTATTAAAATTAGTTTTCATCAAAAATAATCAATCATATTGATACTTAGTTTGATAGGAATTTAAGTTGTATCTGTGGCAGCCTCACGATAGGTGTTAGCTTAGCAAGCTAATTTCTTACTGAGTGTCTCAGTTGTAGTCTTGTGGCAGACTAAGCTTATCAAATAGGTTGTAACTATGTTTCAGTATTAGAAATGTACCATTACTTCATAAATACTTTATGATTCAACTAAAAAAGTAATCGCTACTAGTGAGGAATACATAATTTATAGAATTGTGAGAATGAATCTCTATCTTTTTTATCAATTACAATCCTAATGTTATTTCCTCAATATTGTTCTCTATGAAACTGCTCAAAGAATTATTTCAGTTCTGCATACACCAAAAAGAAATTGAAGTTGTAAAATTTCAGTATGAGCAAATGAATGAAATCCAAACATAGCCTAAGTATTTGTTTAGGTGTTGTGTCCTTTCAGGACATGATCATAGTTCTCAGTAGCTTCCTCTCCTTTATAAGTCTTCTCCTGAGTGGTTCTCCCTTTACTATCCTGCCCAGGCCCTTGTACACTCTCTTGTGGAATGGTTTCTAAAGTAAATAGGTTTTTCCAACCAGTTTTAAATTCAGTGTTGTCCTTCTAGGAGAGGTTGGTGGTAAAAAAATAATTTTTTTTTTTTTTTTTTTGTCTTTGAGCCATCTTCAGAATATAATAATATCTGCATCCCACCTTTTTTTTTTTTTTTTTTTAAATCTTTTTAAGATATTAAATCTCTTGAATAGGTTTTCGTGCATTTGTTGCTAATGTATGCATTTTTGAGGATCTACCAGGAAAAGAAGTGATTGTGCCAAGAAAGAGGGCAGTTTTGAAAAAAAAAATCTTCAACAAAAAAAGAATATGGGTATGATTTTTTTTAAAGGTCATTGAAAACATAGTACTAAACAGAACATTAGTCATAACAAAAATCATTGTAATTAGTCATGTTTAGATTAGATTTTATTCATCTACGAGGTCAGATGTTCAGATCAGATTTTATCCATTGTTAATTTTATTTCTCCATTTTTTAATATTTTATTTGCTATGCTCTATATGAGTGTAGCTAATAAAGTATTAAAACATTGATAAATGAAAATTTAACAATTAATGGATAAAATCTGACCAGATTTTATCTGTTAATTTTTTAATACTTTATTTAATATGCTCTATATGAGCATATCTAATAACATTATTGAGAAAGAAGATTCAAAGTCCCCTAAAAAAAATTAATGATTGATACTAAAATATTCTGCATAACACCAACAAAAATGTTAACTAAAAACATTGAATCAGTCACCATCACAAAATATCACAAATGCAGAAAAAGCAGTCTGTAAATAAATATCCACTAATAGGGTCATAAAATAAAGAATGACATACCTTCAGAAAGTCATTTTCAGCATTATTGTCTAAACCAGGGCTTCTTAAACTATGAGCTGTAACCCCAAATGGGGTTGTGAAAGAAAATGCTAGGGTCACGAAAATTAAATTCAAACACTTGAATTTCAGTTTATATGTTATTTCACAAATGCACAATATTCAACATGACGTTCCATGCAAGCACTGCAGTAATAAAATGTATGTGTGGTGCTGTTGCAACTAGTGCAATTAAAACATGTATTTTCAGTATACTGGGGTTGTGAAAAATCTTGTCATGAATGAAAAAAAAGTTTAAGAAGCACTGGTCTAAACAATAGATCATTTAACCATGAACTATTACATTTTCATGTAAATTGTATAAAACCTCTGACCCACCCCCTAATCACCTGGCAGATCCTCAAAAATGAATTTGAAAGAATTAAAACATCACTAGTAGCATAATTTTTAAAAAAAATAAATGGGGTAGGCAATAGATTTCATACCGCAATATCTTCAACTTTTACTCTTAGACTAGTTGGGATCAATGGTTGAAGAGCCCAATCTACCCAACTATTTAATCCATAGTAGTGAGAGAAGAAATGGATTCATACCTTTCTCAAGAGTGGATGTAATCAACTTGTGAAGAATTTGAATTTGGCTCACCTATCCTCAGAAAAAGTTGGATGTTTAAATTATTTTATTTCTATGTTAACATTTCACTCTTTCTGAGCATTATCATGACAGCTGAAAAAATCTAAAGCAAAAATTCTTTATCATGGCAACCCTGCTACTTAAAAATGCTGCAGTTTGAAAAATATTAACAGTTAATAAAATTTAAAAGTAAATATCTGTTAATAAATCAATGAGATTTCTATCTAGGAAATACATTAAAATAAACTGTAAATATGGAGAGTTGATCTATGAAAATCAATATAGTGTCTTGGATTGAGGAATCAGAGAGCCAAGTTCGAATTCCAATCGAATCCATTACATTCACTTATGTGCTAATACCCTTGGGAAAGGTATGGATCCTCTTCTTCTCCTCTCAGCTATGGGTAAATAGCTGGACAGACCGGGTTCTATAGCCTTTGATAGCAACTGGTCTACCACAGAAAGAAATGACAACCTATTGTGGGGAAAAAAATCTGCCTTGTCAGTCATGTATCAAAAGATACATGATTGCCTAAGCATGTATCACGCATGGCATATAAAATGGGGAGAAAAATAAAGTATGTATATTGTTGGAATGAATGATCAAGCATGCCAAAAGTGTTTTGTGAAGTCTTCTGGTGGAGATTTTTTGTTGAATGATATTCCATGGAAACAGTTGTTAGTGATCATATCCAGACTAAATCATTGTAATACAATGCAGGAGATAGCTCAAATATTCAAGATATCCAAATAAAGTACTGAAAATCATTTTTGTTTCTTTACCAACTTGGTTATGTTAATCACTTTGATGTGTGGTTTCCAAACAAGTTCAGCAAAAATTACTGGATTGTATTTTCATATATGTGATTCACTATATATATATATATATATATATATATATATATAAAATTTGGGATGAGTGGTGAAAAATGTACTTTATGACAATATGGAACACAAGAGACTGTAGAGCAAGTAAAAAGAAAAAACAAAAAAAAGTAAACACCACTAACCATACCAAAGGCTAGTGTTCATCCAAAGTGTCATATTGTGTATATAATCTAAAAGCAACTCATTGCAGAGAACCAAACAATTGATTTGAACAAATTTGATATTGCTAAAGGAAAAATGAGAAGGAAAAAGTTTTTACTCCATCTATAAATCTGTTAGTTTTTCTTTATTGGAAGTATATGGTAATATTTTTCATTTCTGTATGCCATGTTCCTTCAGGATGTGGGTGATCATGACTCTCCACAATTTCCAGTATTTTGCAGCACTTAGTAAATTTTGCCTATTTTGCTATCTCTCCTAATCTCTCTTCAGCTGACCATTTAGACAAGCTTGTTAGGTTATACACTGCTTTCTTATATTTGTAATTTTCATGTTAGACTGTCCCTTTTGCTCTCAACCATATATTCTATTCTGTCTTCTTGCAATTGATAAGCATCTTTCGTCTTCTCTTAAAACATTTCCTATTTTCCATTTAACTTCTTGTACTTGCTGGATTTTGGTGTCTCCAATTTGGAATTCGCATGTTAAGCCTTTTGCTAATAACCATACATTCTCTCTTCTTGCAGTTGATGTTTAATCCTCCTCGCTTTACCTTCTGTAGGAGTTCCTATAGTTTCCTTTCCATTTCTGCAT